TTAGGTTAAAATGTAATACTTATCCTTGATCTGCCTTTGGCTCATTATAAAGTTGTTTTGGTTTTAATATTTTTTGCTTTCCTTTGGATTAAGGGTTTTCTCTGTTTTGTCTAGTCGTTGTTGGCTTTTGTTTGTTTGCTTCCTGTTTGTTGGGTTTTGTATGATTTCCTGAAAAGGAAATTCAGGATAGGTAGCTCTATAGAGCATGCAACTGAATGGATAATTACCTATGGGCATGACAGGTGAGGATGGAGGGAAATCGGGGTAAACAACATAGAATACAAGAAGGAAATGTTTTGATATTGATGGTAGTGATGATTGCCCAACTCTTGCTTATATGATTCAATGATTAATTATATGATATGTGAAGTAAATGTCAGTAAAGTTTTAAATTTTTTCATATATATATGTATGCATCTATATTCTATGTATTTATCTAATTTACAACCCTGGAAGCCTAAAGGGGCAGTTCTTCTGTGTCTTATGGGGTCACTGTGAGTCTAAATCAACTTGATGGTAGTGATCTTAGGATGTGAAGCCCAGTTAAGACAGGGTCCACTGACCACCACCCTCTTATTGGGTTTCAGGGAGGAAGAGGTCCTTGGTGAGGTTACCTAGGAAGGGCACTTACTGGTGGCCCTGATTGCTGATGGGAAATGTGGGTCACCACCCCTGAGGTGTGTCTCCACATTTGCATGGACAGGGCTGCAGGAAGCAGACAGTACACAGGGCCCCAGGGCTCCCAACCCCACAGACCCAGGCTGAGCCTATATAGGGCCTGCTCTGTGCCCAGAGACACAAGCTCTCTTGTCTTCTCCGGAATCATCAGAAGCTGCGGTAAGTCTGCACCTGCCTCTGAACTTCCCTGGAGTGCTGCCCAGAGCCTCTTGCTGTTTGGCCTGCGGGAGCTGAGAGAGCCTCTGTGGGAAAGCTTGGGTTCTAGCTCAGGCTCTGCCAGGGTGGGAGGCTCACCTTGAGGCCAAGGGGTCTCATCTATCTTTCATTGCTTATTATGCCTCTGCTACCTATGTCTAGGACAAATCTAGAGGGGTAGGGTGGAAACATTTTCAGTGGGAGTGCAGGACAGAATCCTTCCCTCTTTTTGCCTTTGTTCCTCCATGGATTCCCCTGCATCCAGTCTCCAGGATCATGAATCCCCACTCCCTACGTCCATATCCAGGTGTCCTGGTGGTGTACTGGGTTACAAGTTGGGTCAGTAACCACATGGTGAGCAGTTCAAAACCAGCAGGTGAGCTTCTCTTGGGGAGGAAAATGAGGCTTTCACCTCCCATAAAGAATGACAGTCTTGCACCCACAGGGGCAGTTCTCCCCTGCCCCATAGGGTCACTCCCTCCACGTGTCAGACCTGACTAGATAGCTGGAAGTGTTCTCATTAAAAAAAAAAATCTCCATAGCCAAGGAGAAGAGCTAAGTGTCTCATATGAGTACTTTGAAAGCATTCTGAGATTCTAGATTTTGGACACTGACTCATGATTCCATGATGCATTTTGGTCCAGCCTCAATAAGGCATAGTGAACAAAGCTCCACCTTCCTGCCCTCCTGT